TTTTAACGTCTTTTGGTATGACGCGGTCGGGGATCGAACCCCGGACCTTCCGCTCACCGGGCGGACGCTCTACCACTAGACCACGGAGGCGGTTATTTGCCCGTGATGAAAATGAGAGAGTTTTTATTAACGCCGCCTTGTACAGTATTCCAATTATATCACGGCGTGTCAGCTTTATCAGAGAGGAGAGCCCGAAGTGATGAGGGTGTCAGACGTTTACCACTTCGGTGAAACCCACGAGCACGGGTATAGTGCTGACAAACCTAGAAACATAATCGGGGCGAACTGGGATTCGTACCCACAATCATAGGTTTCTAGCGTGCCAAGCAACCAATGCTTGCCGTAAAAGGCGACAGCGCTTGTAGAAAGAGGCGACTAACGGGATCGGGTGGTCAGGCTCGCTGACTTGGTTGATGTTTGTCATCGTATCCCATTTGCGTGGATCGATGCTCATTAACCTCAACCACTGGATTGTCTGATCCAGATTCGATTATTTACAGGCCGCCTTCATATGGCTGGAATATTACTGAGTGTTAAACAACAAAGATGCTTTTGACTTGCTTCATGAATACCATGAAAAATGTGAATGACCTGAGCGAATCAGCCATCTCTATATAGTTACATGTCCACTCAAATTCTAATATATTCTGCCTGTATCCAATGAGCCCCTGGTGTGCGGTACTCTGGTCAGCAGCCTCCCAGTGACGTCATCGTTATAGATAATTAATTTTAATGAATATACTTTGCTAGGTATTTTAATAGCATATAGGTATTCTGATATGCAATTAAATTTACGATTGTTGATATAATTACTCTCGAATCAATAATGCAGCTTTGATGATGACTGTGCACCACCGTTTGACGTTCTACGCGTTTTACCTGCATTAAATAGAAAAAGGTTCAATGTTTACCTCTCCTGGTTGTGTGTTATAGTAATACACATGGCTGTAGTGTTTCTACTTCTCCGTTTTGTATGAAACTGGATCTTTCTTGATCCGCCACAGATCCGCATCACACAGACACTTTTAAGCAGTGTCATCTATCCACCTTGATAAAATTGTGTGTATGTGTAGGTGTGTGTGTGTGTGTGTGTGTGTGTGTGTGTGTGTGTGTGTGTGTGTGTGTGTATGTATGCGTTTCGTGTGTATGGATGTGTGCGTGTGCGTGCGTGCGTGCGTGTGTGTGTGTGTGTGTGTGTGTGTGTGTGTGTGTGTGTGTGTGTGTGTGTGTGTGTGTGTGTGTGTGTGTGTCCGTGTGTGTGACCGTGCGTGATTGTCCAGATTTTATATATCCTTGCACACTAAGATAACATGCCGCAGCTTGACATGAATACCCCACTCATACACAGTGTACTGCCCCCGAGCCTCCCAATCCTAGTTTTATCCCCTTAATGCAGGGTAACAACAAGTAGCATATTTTAACTTATTTTGGTACGACTCAGCAGTAGATCGACCCCCCGACCGTCCGCTCCCCGGTAGAGAGCAGTGGGTGAATGAGCGTCGTATGTATATCGGGTAGTGCCACCGGGTGTACGAAACAAACCCGAGGTAGACAGCTGGAGCACTTCTCAATCTCAATCAAATCAGATCTTAATTCTCGCTATGCTAAACAAAGATCTGAGGACATCCCATGTTAGCGGTAGCAAAAACTAAGATCTGATTTTAATGAGATTGGAGCACTTCTCAGTGTTGTCTGGGGACGATGCTGCACTAAACCGTTCCTCGTTTCCAGGAAATAGGAAGCATTTCCCTGTTGTGGTCCAGGAAACAAGTATTCATAGTAACCAAGGGACCATATTTCGGCCAGGATTATAAGTAAGTCAACAATAACTTCACATGCTGCTCATTAATTTAATCATATTTATTCATTAACACACACAAATGTAGACAATACGAACTCAGTGACATCTTTCAGGGCAATAATGCATCAAAAACACACAAAGGTTGCCATGGAAGTACTTGCAATATGAATACGCATATGAAATAAATACATATAGTATGAATAGTATTAATAGTATTAATTCCTATAAAGAAGTTGACATCCATACACTCTCTTCCTTCATTCCTATATACTTACTTACAAGCACATATTTCCTCCCGAAATTTCCGAGGACACATATACCGCATTTCGTTGAAAACACGGCCCCGTCAGTGACAAGTATGGGGTGAGAATATGTACATACTTCACCCACAAGTCCTGTGACAGAAGGGGCCCTCGGCGCTCCACCCCCACCGCCTAGCACCCCGAGGGGTGGCTGCGCGGTCGCTGTGGGGATGTCACGCCTCAGACCAGGGTTTGTGACGAGGTCACATGGTGCTTGTCAGAATGCATGGAAGCATTCTAATGGCGAAGTAAGCGGTGGTATCTCTTGATGATCATTTTCGAAGTAGGCGACATGTTGCTCGAGTATCACCCCGACAAGACGGCTACCGGGCGGAATCCCGACAACAATCTCTCTCGGTTTGGGATAGCAATACTGAAGATGGGTGACGTTTCTACCAGCTTTTATATCTTCTAGGAACACCCTCGTCAGCAATTCCCCACGTGATGTCAACACAGCAGTTTTATTGCACAACCTGTGTATTTCAGGGCAATATTTGCTATCAGTTTACATTGACAACAAGGGGAGCTTACTCTAGCTAGACTGTTTCGGCGGTTAACCGCTCTATCAAATGTACACAGGTCGATCGACTGTCACTGATCAATCGTCTTATCAGTATGGCTTTACTGGGACTCTAAATACGGAGCTACGTTCTCTATATTTTATTACAGAGGTTAGGATTTTAAGATCATAGCATATTTCACAATCTGGAAAATCTCGGTAGTAAATACATCAATGTTAGCACTTAATTAATTTTGGTTGGGTACAAAATACCCAACTTCGGAGCATCGAGCGAGCGAGTGAGAGGTTTTAGTCTGGGGGTTGATGGACAAGTGGGTGATTTGGTGAGTTGGTCATAGAGACTTCCCCAAATGCTTGACATTTTACTTTCTTTCTTTTTTTCATTTCTTCGACCTCACGTTATTCTTGTTGCATTTATGTCATTTGATATTCTGAACGTGCGTTTTATACAAGTAAAGCTGACGCAGCTATAGGTCATTATGCCAAATTATAGAGACACAATAAATCAACCGTAACATCTGTTGATTCCGGAATTAGAATCAACTCGCACCTGCGGGGCGTGCCCTTCCGAAATGAACAGATTCTCCTTGTTTCGTTATTGCATACAAAACATATGTGTAAGCAAACATCCAATGATACAAATCAGTAATGTATCAGCGCACATGTATTTTTAGAAGCTGAGTTTTAATGTGTCTATTATATACGCCTGTAATCACTAAAACATTAAATTTTCCAAATCAGAAGTGGTTTAAGTGAGGGAGAAATCATGATAATTTGTTGATTCTGGAAGTTGAGTCAACGATCCCCGACAGATTTGAGTGATTTCTCCGACTTAAACCATGTTATGTTTTATATATAATTCCCACATATGTTTCCACTTCCATTTAGGTGACGTGATGTTAGGTCATACATACAGAGCTGTTCGCCTACCATAACAGGGATGCTGTTACGGCAAGCCTGTAAATAATAGCGACGTGCATGCACGTGCGTGTTTGTGTGTGCGTGTGCGTGTGCGTGTGCGTGTGTGTGTGTGTGTTTGTACTAGTCTGGACTAATGCCAATTTTATAGTGCAATGCCGCACTTAATGAATACAGTATACTGATTTCGAGCCGACCAGTCCTTGTCTTAGCCCCTTAATGCCGAGCGCCAGGCAGGGAAACAACAAGTACTAGGACTTAACGTCTTTTGGTATGTATGACTCGGCTGGGGATCGAACCCCGGACCATCCGCTCTCCGGGCGGACGTTATATCCACTAGACCACGGAGGCGGCTATTTCTGACATGAATCACTATAAGCATATAGGATGTCATAGTCTAGTGTCAGGTCCCGTGGAGAATATACAGGAGTGAATTGTGATGTCCCAGACATTCGTTACTTAAATGAGGCCAGGGATTTTACGTCTGGCGCTGACAGCCCAAGGGTCATGATCGGGACATCTAAGGGACGCAACTCTGTACCCCTTCTAGACGCTTGAGGCAGGTGTATCCACTGCACAATGGTGTTCTCTGATCAAACACTTCACACGGATAAGGCGACGTACTCAAACAACTTGAGTATATTCCAAGATCAGTAACATCCATGACGACAATCTACGTCGGTGCATGTCGGGTTAAATTCGTTAGCTCCAAAGGTTTTCACCATCGACCAATGGTGATTCCAAGAATATCAAGCGGGTACTATTTGCCAGTGATGCAAATGAGAGAGTTATTATTAACGCCGCCCTGTACAGTATTCCAGTTATATCACGGCGTGTCAGCTTTATCAGAGAGGAGAGCCCGAAGACGTTTACCACTTCGGTGAAACCCACGAGCTCGGGTATCACGAGAACAAACTTGGAAACATAATCGCATTTAGCGTTAACAGCTAAATTGTTTTATTGTTGGCACCGCCATACCATGTGCGTTTGTTTATAAACACAACCTCGGCTCGTGCAGTTTTCCAGTTACGTCATCATATGACGTCATCAATTTGGGCTTACGTCGATCTACGCGTCATAACGGTGATTTACCTCTCTTCTCGCATCACTGTCAGACTCGCTCGCCCTCCCTGTGCTCTCTTGTTCGCGTTATCTCATTGCTTGTCCAGTGCAGGCTAGGATAACATGGGCACAGCGACTTGCCGCGCATTAGACAACTGGCCAGTGCCACCAGTACCCCCACTGATTTTGGAATAACTTTTCGGAGTGTAATGTGATTTTCAGAGTAACAACCACTGATGTGTTTAACAATGCCTCCTATCAACAATATAAGTCACCGCGTGGAGTACTATATTCCAGTATCTTCACAATAAGCTACCCTCCATGGACGGTCCGTCACGTCCTTCCATTGTGATCAGTATAATAATATAAAGTAATAAACGAATGATGTTTACAGGCAAGAACACTTTTTATTTACAGCTATTTACAGATTAGCATCGATTTCACTATAATGCATACGTCGTTGTTATAGGAATGTAATGTGACACACGCTGTTGATGGAAAGAATCCATTTGCAGAGCTCAATGTAACATGTTGTCAAGTCTGCAGTGATTTCTTTAGTGACCTGTGCACCTAGAGCGAGCACGCCCATGTCATGTTGGTCACGTGCACTGCTGAGAACGTCACGTGCACTGCTGACTGTAACGGAAAACGTCATTTCCTGCTTCCCGATATCCCTATCAATTACAGTGTAGTATATATAAAAAAGCTGTATATTCAAATCATTACATATGGGTGTTGTGTTTATCGTCATTTAATCGCGCTAACCATTGACCTCTTTCAAATGAAGAGTTGCTCCGTTTGGAGGGAGTCAACGAACAGTTAACTTTTGTTTTGTAGTGATCATTTCAAGAGCAACCATTTTGTCAGGGTAAGCGTTATAACCACGACTTAGTATTTTAGCATTTTTATTTGATTTTGACCAAATGAAAGATATTTTCTATTGGTATTGGTATACTGTTTGAATAATATTGGTATGGTGGTGCTAAAGGAAACTGTTGGTATGCGAACAGTTTAGGTCATTAGAAGATGGGTGAGGCCATCGATATATTCATGTTCAGCACTGTCATGATCAGTGGGTAACGTCTGAAATATGTTAAACTATTGTTCTCACACTTACGGATTGAAAAATATTTTGAATTCGTACAATAAGGTATGCTGTTGTTGACGCTTTCGTGTGTGGAGTAAAATGCTGATGGTTTCTGGACCAATGTGGTGAAAACATCTCCTAAACTAAGAGTGTGGAACAAACATGATGTCCTCTAGTCGTGGTTGTCCAAAAAACAAATACAATATTACACAAGTCATGAGGTGACAAATATCGTTACATCTTTACAGACCCTTTGTCTTTAGGTAACCGTTGTATGAGCAACACTTATTCAATGTAGATGTATTATGACATCATCACTAACAATGGTGACGTCATTATTGTCTGTCAACACGTCACAGGTCACAGGTCACAGGTCACCAGTCCGGCGTGCTGGGTCTGTAGGTGCGAACGTGTCTGGCCCCGGGTGGGAGTGGACGATGTGTTTTCACATAGAACGCCTGCCCATTGTGATATTTCCTCCTGGTGCCAATATAATCCGCCATTGTGAAGTCAGGTTGTGGCTCCGACATTCGCTTCTGAAGCAACCGCTGAGATATAAACCTCTTGTCTTCGCCGATGGGAACCAGGGCAGTCTTTATCGTATGTTTCTCATTCTTCTCGTGGGTGAGGATCTGCTCCAGCCGCTCGCAGTGGTCCTGGAGACTATTGGTGTTGTGGATGATGCTCGGTTTAATGCTGAGTTCCACCCTCATATCCTGTTCTACAATGTCCCGGTGGTACCGGAGGGTCCCCAGCATCCGCTCAGTCATGTAACGCTGAAGCTTGTTGGACTCGTATCGTACCTTCAGTTCATCGTAATGCCGTTTGTTCCTGGTCTGAACGGTATCCATGACCCGCCCCGTCATCCGGTCTCTCTCCTTCCGCAGACCTTCCAGTTTGTTGTGGAGCTTCCCTATCCTATCGTCAAGGTCGAAGATTGTCAGACTCAAATCGTTGGACCTGTCTTCCCTCTTGAGAAGATTCTGTAGCTCCATCATCTCCTTCTCCAGTTCCGCCTCGTTCCTTAGAATGTCCTCGTCTAGAAAGGAAACTCGCTGATTCAGCTTCTTTTCCAGTTCAAGAATCTTCTCCAGCTTTTTGTTCAAGTCTTTTGTTCTCACGCTATCCAACTGAAGCCACCGTCTGGCTAAACGGGCGGACTTCTGGAGCTTGGCCAGAATGTCCGGGACAAACCGAATCAAGGTCACGGTGGCGCTGTCCAAGGTCAAATGATACACACAGTTTTCACTTTCGTGGCTGTAAAGGTCAGAGTCCAAGGAATCCTCATTGTCTAGAAGAAACTCCATTTGCTCTTTCACTAAAGAAAGACTTTTCGCCACTTTGTCGACTTCGGTTGTATCGTACAGAGTTTTGATGTCCGTGAATTCATTGCTCAGCATCATCAGTGCTGTTTTCTCCTGCGCCCTATTGCGAGCTGTGGCGACACTATCGTCTAGGTCGTCGTTGTTGTCGAAATTCTCCCCACTGTCACCACTGTCAGAGGAAAACTGACTAAACTTTGAAAATGACAACGTCGACGAGGAGCCCCTTCTTTTGTCACCATCTCTATCGGAACCCTCATAGAAATATTTGAACAATGGCTGGAATATCCTGTCTGTGAAATTTACTTTCAGGTCACGAAGGTAGTCCACATATTCGAAAAACCACATGAAATATTTCACACAATTGTCATCAATATTTGGTTTGGTATTTCGAATTCGAGCCTCGCGATTGCGGGCAACTGTGTTTTTATTGGCTTCCTGGATCATAGCATTGTGAAGCTTATCCAATGAACCGATGACACGTGGCGGATCAGTGCGGCCTCTGAGAATACGTATCATATTTACCAGGGTGTCGATGTCAAAGTTTTTGAAACTCATGTTCACTTTCTCCTCGAACGCGTCCACCTGGTGGGTCATCACTTGACCTCTGTATCTGTCCTCAATCATCAGCAGACGCAGCTGAAACAGTCGAACGCGGGATATAACGAACCCTCTTGTAACGAATGCACAAAATAGATCTTACATCATGTCAACGATAACATACAAAAATATCGGGAACTTAACTACAGATACCAGTTATGTTAAACTGAAGATGTATTTTTGTTAAAACCTGCAGACTGCTTACAAACGCCTATTTTTCCACATCCCTTGTCGCAGCACTGTGAAAACATGGTATACTAAACCCGTGAAAATCCGGGGTAGAAAAGGTTTTCAGCAATCCATTCTTGCAAAAGGTGTGCGTTTTCGTGACAGTACCATGCTTGGTGTGTGTTTGTTGTTGTTTAACGCCGCACTAAATATAAGGAATATTCCAGTTAATGACGGCGGTTTGTAAATAATCGAGTCAGGACCAGATAATCCAGTGATTGATATCATGAGCATAGATCTACGCAACTAGGATAGGATGACAGTCGTCAACCAAGTCAGCGGGACTGACCACCCTATCCGTTTACTCGCCTCTTACAAGCCTGTTGGTTGCTAGGGACAAGGTTGCTAGGGAATTCATTCCCGATATCCCCAAGGGTTTACCAAGCTGTGTAAGACACACCAAAATAACGGTACATACTTCAAAATCAAAGGACAATGTTAAAAGTTACCTGGAGTTTCTCTGCTTGCAGTGCACGGCCCATCTTTATGGACCTGAAACAAATATGAAAGATTATTTGTATTTATTCGACGTAAACATCGGGTACAATACGTAGCCATAAATAAAGGTTACATAAAACTCACACCTCCACATTTTACCGTGATATGGTTTCTCTTTCGCTCTGTGGGGGTTGGTGGTAGGGGGAGGTGTTGACAGAGCGTCTGCCCGGAGACCGGAAGGTCGGCGGCTCTATCCCAGCTAGCGTCATATCAAAAGACGTTAGAAGATGGTTCTTGTTTTCCTGCCTGGTGCTCGGCGTTGAGGGGATAAAGGAAGGACTGGTCGCTTCAGCATACTCTGAGTGGAGTTTTCTTGTCAAAATTGGGCATGGTGTCTCAGTGGTCAAGCACATGCACACGTACGTGTACGTCGCTATTGAAGTGCAATAATCGTGACGGTAGAGCCCATTTCACCCCACCTTGGGTACAATGATTTGTTGTCGAACTGGGCTACAAAACAACATTTCACCCCCATGAACCAGAAGAGTGGATGTCCCTGTGAGTGGAACAATCAACAATATCCTATTCTATGGAAGGAATATAGGAGAAAGCTGTCAGTCTGATTTCCAGACGTATTGTTACTGTGAGAAAATCCCCCCAATTGTCGGACGTTATTGTATCCCTGCGGGGGATTTAGTCCTTGTCAGTGTCAGGCCCGTCCGGGACTGGCCGTTTTAATGCGCTGGTAGTGGGTCATACAAACACGCGATGAACGTTATTCCAGTCCTCAAGAAAATAGGTTTTATGAAGGGTGTGCATAAAACGGTTCTTCACGTGGACCAATAACGTCCGGATGAGACATTCATACGTACCATGACAACGTCACTCCACCCTGACCTGTTACACCCCCACCCCCACAAGTAATCCACCACCACCAGGATACGCTCGCCTTTTGTCGGACACATGGTGACATCACTATTTCATGGTGATTCATGGACGCATGCTCATGATATAGTCGGAAAGGTACAATCGACTCTGCTTTTAGCAGTGATTTATTATGGGTAGGAACAGGGTTTTGACATTTTTTATTTTTTTTAAAAATCTGTAGTATCTCATGTGTATCGAAAATAGTCGTCTCTTTTCATCAGTTTTCTTTACTTCATTACTATAGTTGTTATCACCTACAAAGCAACAAGTATTGAGACTGTCCAGGTAAATAGGACGTTGGGGCGTCATAGGTTAGAGGGCGCTGGCTTGACTGGTACGTTCGAACCCTGTCGAGGATTTAGTGAAACATTAGCGATTTGGGGATTTGTTGTTGTTTTTAATGTGTGTATTACCTGTCCGTGTACATTAAGGACGGATTAAGGACACTGACAGCTACCTTTATTACATCAGATGTCAAATAGTCCGCAGACGCTTTTAGCATGAAGACAACTCTCCCAAACTATCGGACACCATGTTTGATGGTGGGTAAAAATAAAACAAACAAGAAATGGTTATTCGATGGGGATGTATTTGATAAGGGTATCATAGTTGTGTTTTGGACCTTTATAGTGTTTCGTTGACTGTTATCAGCCCAGTAACGTTTTGATAATATTTGTAATTTATTTGTAAAAATCCAATTTTCAAGTTTATATTTTCTTTTGCCCGGTTGTTCAGATCTCTAACAAGGAGATAGGTTCGTATCATTTTTTATTCAAACAAATAAAACACACTTCATTCGTCTCCTTACTCGTCATAGTTTATGTCAATACCAGAACGACCCGTGAAGATCCGGGGTAGAATAGGTCTTCAGCAACCCATGCTGACCATAAAGGAGACTATGCTTGTCGTAAGAGGCGACTAACGGGATCGGGTGGTCAGGCTCACTGACTTGGTTGATGCATGTCATCGTATCCCAATTGCGTGGATCGATGCTCATGATATCAATCACTGGATTGTCTGGTCCAGACTCGACTATTTACAGACCGCCGTCATATAGCTGGAATATTGCTGAGTGCGGCGTTAAACAAGAAACAAATAAACAAACAGTTACAATGTGTCAGTTGCCCACTATGTCACTAATTGAAACGTCTTGGCCTTGGCTAGAACAGGACTCCTGACGGTAAACGCATATAGTCACTCTTTAAGAATCGATCCAACCCAATACCAATGCCTCGCCTGGTTATTCCTTTAAATCAGTAGGACACAGCTTGGAGTGAATATTCACATTTTGGAGTCAGTATTCACAGGTTGGAGTCAGTATTCACAGTTTGGAGTCAGTATTCATAGCTTAGAATCCCTGTTTTCTTGTCTACAGCCCTGTGGGGCCCCATAAAACTCACTAACCTCCACCGTAAAAGAACATTGCACATTACATGATCACATGGTGTTTACATGATTGAGGTGTGTAATAGTAAACATGTTTTCACTGAAGTCGATGGATAACATTGACGGGTCTCCGACTGACTTCTATACCGTGACACTGCAACAAGCGGACTCGCCGACTTTAATCGCTCTATTTTGATGTGTCCTCAAGATTTATTGCCTTTGAAATGTATAGCCGAACAGCGTTCATTATGACGAAGCTAACTATAGATGATTCTTAAGTCGATCTTGATATTTGCAAGACGCACGTATTCTGTGACTACGAAAATATTTCCTTTTCTGGAGGTCGTCGTTAAAAAGACATTAGTCCATTAATTCGTTGTTCAAGACATGTTCCAATCCTAACGATTTCACTGTCAACCGTATCGTCCGCGTTAGGGACGGCGTAGACAAAGTCTTAGTCTATGAAAATATATAACTTTGATAGAAACAAGCAACTACATTTAAATTGAATAGGAGTTCCAGTGAGATGGGAACCTATGAACAAATCTAGACTTGCTTCATTTGTGAAATTAACATTTTAGTAAGGGCTGGGAGGAAAGGAAAATATAATGGTTCAGGGACTGGGAGACAGGCATGGCGTGTCGATAGATATACAGTTTGCACCTGTGAACTTTCTTGATATAAGTCTTTAAGAATAAACGTTTAGCAGAGAATCAGTTCGGTAGACCCTGTGATTAAGAAGGACACAATATGCTTAAGTAGAAAATCTTGTTGTAGTTAGTCTCTTTGACGCCCTGGCGGGACAGCACGATAGATAGACTGACAAAAGGCTTCATACAGCCAGCTGTCTTCTGGGTGTTACAGTCAAATATTTTATTCCATGTATAATACATGAAAGGTAGTATATTGCCGGCTGATAACACCATCATATCCATATGCTACGTGTTGATTGTTTTCAGTCACCGTACGCATACGTTTATTAATACAAGTAAGTAAATCATATTGTGTCCACACCTGCCACGGTTCCTTTCATCTGCCCGTCTTTACAAACATGTGAAGCCACATAATGTTTCCCCGCAGCACTGTGCACACGTGGACTACCCTGAACAAACTGTTGGACCAATCCTGTCACGCGAACCGTGAACACTTCACTATGGGTATGAAGCTCTGATTTGGTGTTGGTGTCGTTGACATGTACACATGTGTGGTGCTCTGGGTTCACCAGTATTAGCTCACAAACAACTCTCCCTGCACTGTCATCAACACAATGCCACTCAGTACACTGAAGTCACGCCAAGAGACGACAGTCCCAATAACTACCTTCGGTATTCTAGCTCTGGCTACCCAGAACCATATGGTTGTCTTCCCTGGGGGTTCAGAGGTCCCCAGAACCCTATGATTGTCTCCCCTGGAGGCTCCGAGATCCCCAGAAGCCTATGATTGTCTCCCTTGAGGCTCCGAGATCTCCAGAACCCTATGATTGTCTCCCCTGGAGGCTACGAGATCCCCAGAACCCTATGATTTTCGCCCCTGGGGATTCAGAGTTCCCGAGAAGCCCATGATTGTCTCCCTTGAGGCTTCGAGATCCCCAGAACCCTATGATTGTCTCCGCTGAGGCTCCGAAATCCCCAGAACCCTATGATTGTCTCCCTTGAGGCTCCGAGATCCCCAGAACCCTATGATTGTCTCCCTTGAGGCTCCGAAATCACCAGAACCCTACGATTGTCTCCCCTTGGGGTTCAAAGGTTCAGCGAAATACTGTCCTGTCATGAACGGCGGGGTAGCCTTGTGGTTAATGTGTTCAATCGTCATGCCGAAGGCCCGTGTTCAATTCATGGGTACAATGTGTGAGGCTCATTTCGGGTGTCTCCCGCTGTGATGTTGCTGTACTGTTGCATAAAGCAGCGTGAAACAACACTCACTCACTATAAATAATTTTCCTTCACTATAAATAGCTTAGGTCCACTTCAACAAATGTGATTTAATTGTGAGCTGTAAAGCTTAGAATGGCGCAACTCACCAACATATCTGTCATTACAATGCTAGACCGAGGAGCTAAAGGAAGCACAGCATGTTGATGTTTTATGTAATTGAATTTTTTTGTTAAATTCGATTATGTCTATTTACCCATCACTCATTCCTGCAACAGTTTGTTGAAAGTAATCTTATGCAATCCTATGTAAATAAGTAATTTTATGTTAAAATAGTGAGTGAGTGAGTGAGCATGGTTTTACGCCGCTTTTAGCAATATTCCAGCAATATCACGGCGGCGGACACCAGAAATGGGCTTCACACATTGTACCCATGTCGGGAATCGAACCCGGGTCTTCGGCGTGACGAGCCAACGCTTTAACCACTAGGCTACCCGACCGCCCCTTATGTTAAAATAAATTGGTTCAATGAAAACTAGTGTATGAAATGAACTTGCAACCAGATGACCCTTTCAGGTTTGAAATGTTGATTTTGAAGATAACTTTTCTAAGATACCCATCAGCATTTGTGTATCACGCGAAATTATTGTTTTTGATTTGAGACAATCAACTGAGTGGTATCGTTTGTTTTCCGCCTCAGGTTATGTCAGAAACTCTGAACTTATTTGCTGGCTGCGATAGCTTCCTAACGACATAATGGCCGCTGCACCCCGTCTCGTCGATCATGAACTCGTCACCGTCAAATACTATAAGAAGATTAAAAACAGAAATGCCTTGTCGCTACTTAACTTCCCCAGTGTTGACAGCTGATCAATCAAACAGGTTGTAGATCAATAACTCTGGCCAATTATCGATTATGTCTCCCACGGGCGGTGCCTGCGTATTACCTTCCCCGTTAGGACATGTCACCCATAGTGATAGGGAAGGTCAACGTGTCAGGAAGGTGTGAAATAAGCGAGTGTGTGAGGGTGAAAGTGGGTGGTTGGTAGAGACAGTGGATGGGTGAGTGAGTGGATGTATGAGTGAGTGGATGGGTGAGATTTGTTTGTTGTTTTATGCCGCACTCAGCAACATTGCAGCTATATGGCGGTGGTCTGTAAATAATCAAGTCTGGACCAGACAATCCAGTGATTGACATCATGAGCATCGATCCACGCAATTGGGATACGTCGACATGCATCAACCAAGTCAACGAGCCTGACCACCTGATCCTGACAAGCATAGTCTCCTTTTACGGCAAACATGGGTTGCTGAATTGAGTGAGTGAGTGGATGGTGGAGTGAGTGGATGCGTGAGTGAGTGAATGGTTGAGTGAGTTGGTGAGTTGGTGGGCGATGCTTCCCCGTTAGCATTGACGTTTTGCTTTTCATGTCTATCGCAGTGCTAGCAGACCCATCATGACACAATTCTGTAATAATCTGCAAAAACTAACAAACATGATCAAAACACAATCGCCGAAACAATTCAAACTTAAGATCCCAAACACAACCATGACACTGGTATCAGACACACTACCATCGAATATCCATTTCTTGATTGTTTCATTTTTAGCAATCATCAACATGAATAAACACTGAATATTCTTATCGGCTCAAGTGTATTTTTTTGAAGCTTTGATATATTTCCTGTACAACTATATACCCCTGTAACCGCGAGATTCTTTACACACAAGAACTGATTCGTGGTTCGTGAAACCATTCTGGGATCAATCAAGGATGTGGTCTGATGATGGGAGTAGCATTACAATATATTCTGTTCCACGAGACTACCCAGTTCAATACAATGAAGCGAACTGTAATCATGTTCTTTCCTCGAGGGACATATAATCACACTGAATACAGTCCACAACACCGAGCAGACTGCGTATCGTGGCAGTGACTGACTGTTCAAAGTACGGGGGCACGGGTGGCCCAGTCGTCTAAGACGCCGCGATTCGTTGTGCAGAGTTGCGTCACTTGGGCACGCCAGAAACCTATGATTGTGGGTTCGAATCCCGGTTCGCCCCGTTTATGTTTCTAGGTTTGTCAGCACCATACCCGTGCTCGTGGGTTTCACCGAAGTGGTAAACGTCTGAGACCTGCATCACTTCGGGCTTTCCTCCCACATTAAGCTGACACGCCGCGATATAACTGGAGTACTGTTAAAAGCGGTGTTAAACCAAACTCACTCACTGTTCAATGTACAGTACCGTCCACCGAGCGCACTACCACACCTCATGTCTCATTGACATGGTACTTAGGGTGTAGTCATTTACTATCTATATGTGTCCTACCTCCGTTATTAAAATGAATATAAATTGCACAAGTGTGACTCAAATATGTATACATTGCGAAAACCTTTCTATACCAGCACATCTTCCTGAGGCAAGGGAGTTACCTGACTCTAAAAGTCCATATACTCCATTTTAACAGGATCTTTACTCACGAAGTGCATGTAATCACATGAGCACCTTGGTTTAAAACAACAGATTCGAAACTTATCTGTCGATCCCAAGTTGGCGGTACATATTTGCAAATCCTACAGCCGACCGAAATAGAGCGTAGAGACCCAAACTGTTAACGAACCGAGTGACGAATCGTTACGCGATATGATTGGACGATACATAGACTCGTTAATCCAGCCAAAATATAACTCCATAATTTAAGTGTAGTACGGCAAGGGTGGAAACAGGACTTTTTCAGTCAGTTAATTCCCTTGCCTCGGGAAGATGACACGAGTAATGATCTAACATGACATAAAACATCATGTACCTGAAGATATATATGTTAAATGTGTAGTGTATGACCTGCCACATACACAAAAGTTGAAATACATCATACTGACATCTACATGATGGCTGAGCTAACAACACCTACTCCTTGTAAGGACAAGACGTTCAGCTATTGAGATAAGAAGTTCAGTCACCTGGTGTCGGAATGGTGCTTTGTCATCGTATTATACAACGATGGCTGAGCGACTGGGAGTGGAATAATGATCAGTTCTGTCCACGAGTACGGCGGTGACTATCGTGCTGCATGTAATGGATGTCATGTTGAATACCGCCGTTCTTGAGTATACGACTCAGCATTGTCGTTCTACGTAGAAACCGTAAAATCTATCCAGAATTGCTCAAGGAAATCGAAAATGGAACTCTATTAATGTTGAGGTGTCATTATACATTACTTTTATATTGATCAGGTCGTGAGAGGAGTTTTCTAGATTGCATAATGCACAGATTCCCTGCAGCGACTTTGCACTAAGTAAGGCAATTAAATGACTCTCAGCGAAATTGTGTGTTAAAGATGCATTTTCCATCTGGAGAGAAAGTCAATAATAACAGCTAAATCTGTAGTAATAGAAAACTATTAACCGATAGTCACACATAAACCGTTGCCAATCAGGATCTGAAATACGTCAGTGTCAGAAGAATGGGCCTGTGCCTTTATCTGTTTTGATTGTGATGTCAGTTGTTAATATGCGAAATCTCATGGATATGAATGGTTGATATGTGAACTCACATGGGTATCATTGATATGTGAAATCCCATGGATATAAATGGTTGATATGTGAAGGTATTAATGGTTGATATGTGAATTCCCATGGATATAAATGGTTGAGATGTGAAGGTATTAATGGTTGGTATGTGAAATCCCATGGATATAAATGGTTGATATGTGAAGGTATTAATGGTTGATATGTGAAATCCCATGGATATAAATGGTTGAGATGTTAAGGTATTAATGGTTGATATGTGAAATCCCATGGGTATAAATGGTTGATATGTGAAGGTATTAATGGTTGATGTGTGAAATCCCATGGATATAAATAGTTGAGATGTGAACTCGCATGAGTATCAATGTTGATATGTGAAATATCATGGATATAAATAGTTGAGATGTGAACTCGCATTCATTAGTATTTGTGTTTCACAAATAAAATGATCTTAATTTACGAGTCTGATTCTTTGACTTAACATGCTCATCTCTGGCGGTGACTGGAATACCTTGGATATCAATGCATGAAACGACAACTGATGTTTGATAAGTAGACTATCATAGGTGAAGAATTACATCATGTGCTATTAACTATTTTTAGATAAGAACAAATTCATCTTAGACAGCCACACTTGACAACTAGTAAGGGCAATTTAGATAGCTCTGTTTGGTAAACAGCATGGCAAGTTAGATAACCATGTTTAAAAAGTAGAATTTCGCTGTGAGAGAAGAAAATGACAGCTATTTCGACAAGAAGAATGGCAACATTGAGAGCCATGTTTGACAAGTAGAATGACAACTTAGATAGTCCTGTTTGACAAGTAGAATGACAAATTTAGATAACTATGTTTGCCTAGTATAATAACAATTGAGATAGCCATGTTTGACATGTAGAAGGACAACTTAGATATCCCCGTTTTACAAGTAGAATGAGAATTTAGACAGCCATGTTTGACAAGTAGAATGACAATTTAGATAGCCCTCTTCGACATGTAGGATGACAACTTAGATAGCCCTGTTTGACAAGAAGAATGACAATTTAGATAGCCCTGATTGACATGTAGAAGGACAACTTAGATATCCCCGTTTGACAAGTAGAAGGAGAATTTAGATAGCCATCTTTGACAAGTAGAATTAAAAGTTAGATAGCCCTGTTTGACAAGTAGAATGACAATTTAGATAGCCACCTTTGAGATGTAGAATGACAATGTAGATAGCCCTGTTTGACAAGTAGAATGACAATGTAGATAGCCCCATTTGACAAGTGGACGAGGACAGCCATTCTGCATAATTCATTCATATTACACAACTCACGTTGTTACACATGCACTTAGTGTCACGGGAATCAGCGAGCTGACAGAGCTAAGTGTCACATCTTACCCTGCGCTGCTGGAGTTTGGAGTGGAGGTTCGGACGTCAGCCATGTCTGTGTGCCCGCGGTCAGCTGAACAACGCACCTGTCTTGCAGCCCATTACAAGTCTCCTCTAACGCCTGTCATGTCTCCAGCACCTTGCTGTTGTTTCAAACATCATTCTCGAAGTTTAAAAACCTACAGCAACACACTTCGTCTTAAAAACTTCCGTACAATACATCTGAGTAGAAGAACCACTTTCGTCAAGTACTCAAATCAACACTGACTTTGGCGACCTATTGCCATCGATTCATCAGTTACTGACAGCCATTCACCTTGGAACAGTACGCCGTCTCTGAGTGGCTGTATTTCGTTGTTACCTCGACTGAAGTCCAATCAATAGCGTCGGTCTATACATGAAAGGAAGACGATGATCATGGGCTGTCGTCTTCGGTGCTTATCATTGTCGGTGTGTGTTTAGCCTTCCTTTCAGAGCTGACGGGTTAACTGACAAAGAAATATTCTAGCACGCCTTTTTATGGAGTATATTATTGTTGTTAGATAATAGAGATTTTGCGCATTTAATGGATCATAAGCTATGAATCAAACCTTTTCATACGGACAGTTCAATGGCTGTGAATGACGTGATATGAAAAGTGTCGCATTGGTTCTCATATCCCTTTAGTTCGAAAAGTTGAATTTATTGCCGTGTATTGAAGGTTAATGTCCACCTTGGAGCCTGACTATGTAATGACGTATTTGTATCATAGCGTGAGATCTACAAGCACGCATATAAATATCGGTTAATGTTGTTGCACCTCGGCCCTCCGTGGTTGTTTTGGATACAAAATACATGGTTGTATACGCAGTGACCGTCACGTACGTTGAGAGTGGACGAAGTACATAGAGTGAGTGAGTGTGTTACGCCTCTTTCAGTAATTTTCCATCAATATCATGGCGTGGGGCACCGGGAGTGGGTTCACACATTGTACCAATGTGGGAATAAAACCCTGGTCTTCGGCGTGACTAGCGAACGCTTTAACCACGATGCTACCCCACCGCTACGCAGTACACAGAGAATATCTAGGTTAAATTGTAGTAAGTCCTTTTGACATCAGTTTTAACTTGTAACGAAGTATGTATGTATTCTTAACATAAAGATTCGGAGAAAATAATATCTCCTGTATTTAGGAGTATAAAACAATTTATGATATTAAATTTTTTTCTATAACTAATACAGTGAAATTCCATTATCCCTGACGGCACATATTTCAATGGAATCGTTACGATAAACACATGTCCGGATTAACATATTCGGATTAACGTATCATGGTGTGGGTAGTACCCACTGGGAGTGGGGGATATGTATGAGAGACGTACACGCACACATAGGTGGCTATAAGAGCAATAATTGCACCTCCCCAACTATATTTCATTATATATGTCCACAATAAAACATAAACACATAAACATTGAAAAGCGTCAAGCTATTGCAAGGCAGAGGTTGGGTGACTTCATGTACGGCACCATGTGTCAAATGTTGGTGGTCTGTAGCCTGTATATGGTCATTACGTGGACTTGAAATGCATTGGCTACTTGCCGGGCGGTTTGTCCAGCTTGTAATCGTCTAAGACCTTGGTGTCGCTGATTTCTTGTCAATCTTGGCATGTGGTAGCAATTCAATAACGAATGAATGTTATCCGATCTGGGTGGATTTTTATAGGGCAAGAAATGGGGGAACGCATGTGCATTTCAATTTGCACGGAACTCACGTGCATCGGGTTACCATGGCCATTGCCGTGATCTGTTTGGGCGATCGGTTTTATTGTCATCTGTTTTGTTTTTTTATCATCAAATTTCATTTTTTCGGACAATGTAATGTTAAATTTTAGAAACCTCGACAAAAAACTACCCAGATGACAACTTTTCATGCAATGTTCCTTAGGGTGACGTTTCTTTTGCGGTTCAGTATAGATTCAATTAAGATTGCGACCTTTTACGTAGAGTCGAGTTTGGTTGTTGGATAAGTAACATGCGTTCGTTACCTGATGGCGTGCGTTGACTCCATTGCACGCGGCGGTATACATGCTTAACTGTAAAGACAAGATATTTTATGTATGACAACTTCCTTATTCTATTTTGGTGCGACGTTTCGGTATAGATTCGGTATACTCTTGCTTGACAACGGTATTGGGATCTTTACCGAAACGTCGCATCATAATAAATAAAGAAGTTCTCATACATAAAATATCTTGTCTTTGCTATTACTTACCAACTTCTACAAATGCCAATCAAACAATTTAATCAGGTTTAACTTGCAAAATTCCGATTGAGTCCATCACGAAAGTGTTCCAAATGTATTATTACAAGAAAGATTTGTTTTCAGGAAAATAGTTCCCGTGGGAGCTTAAGCCCACCACCCGAAACAAACATAGAGTTACTCAAGCTTCTAACAGAGTTACTTCCCTTTACTCGAGGCCATATATGTCCTCTGCTTTTACTAGCCCACATTCGTAACCAACTACACAGACATTACAGTATACGAGAGCGTTATGACCATGCCTGAAATGGCTTCTGTTGTCAGAGACTAAAATAATCTCTACATTCGCCGATATTCTAATTTAATTCGCTAAATTTGCGATTGTTCGTCTCGTGATCAACACGTGACGTCACATTGTGACAGTAAAATTGCTGTTTTTTTCAAAAGATCAATACGGGTCAATCAGAGCTCCGGTCCACATTTGTCAGTTCGATTTTCACATAATATCAGTCAGTAGTTAACTTGGCCATGAAAGTAAAAAGAGTGAGTGAGTGAGTATGGTTTTACGCCACTTTTAGCAATATTCCAGCAATATCACGGCGGGGGACACCAGAAATGGGCTTCACACATTGTACCCATGTCGGGAATCGAACCCGGGTCTTCGGCGTGACGAGCGAACGCTTTAACCACTAGGCTACCCGACCGCCCCGAAAGTAAAAAGAGGTTATAGTCTTACTCTAGATCGACTTTCTGATTATCATTCTTGCCGTAGCGTATACTTGTGCGCGTATTCTTCTGTTTGTGTAATTATGCTACTGTACAAAGGCAGCGATGACTCACGCTGACCACATAGACAGGGTCAATGAAGCGTGAAATCTGGTAACAATCCGTGACAAGACTCTCCAATACCGTCACAGATCGCGGAAAGTATAGGTGTGGTAGGGAGATCAATGAGGACATAGGCTGCGTGGCGGCCTTCGTTGAAATCTATTATAGGTACTGTACAGTATTCAGGTATTTCGGTCAGGCGAACAAACCTCTCAGCCATTAACACTTGACCCATGGACCCCCCTCGTTGGTCTGCAACTAACACTTGACCCATGGGCCCCCCTAGAGGGTCACTGTCGGTAGGAAACTGGTTTAAGGGGTCAACGATTTGTATGGGCCAGCGAGACATTAAACGTTGTTCCTGAGAAATGGTTTGTTTAGGTTTGCATGGAAAAGTGGGTTTGTAGGTAGAACTTTGCCATATATTTAGGTATGTCCACAAAATGAGCAAATGTGTAATGGACCCGTGAAGATCCGGGGTAGGATAGGTCTTCAGCAACCCATGCTTGCTGTAAAAGGCGACTATGCTTGTCGTAAGAAGCGACTAACGGGATCGGGTGGTCAGACTCGCTGACTTGGTTGAGGCACGTCATCGTATCCCAATTGCGTGGGTCGGTGCTCATGATAACAATCACTGGATTGTCTGGTCCAGCCTCAATTAATTACAGATAGCCGTCATATGGCTGGAATATTGCTGAGATCGGCGTTAAACAACAAACAAACAAAACAAACATTTGTAAGGGTTTCTTCAACATTGTGGAACACGTTTATATATTTACAAGATCAAAGCTGAAAACAATTTGCCTCCTGTTAAAATTGACCCAGTTGGAAGCGTTATTTTGTCGAATACATCAGATACACAATTGAAAATACGTTGACGTCACAGAATAAATGACGTGATGCAATATATTTGTGCACAATGTAACCCCCATACCAGAGACTAAAAGTAGAGCCCGTTGTACAATTCCGACTATATCATGTGTATATTAATTGGCAACCCATGCTTGCCATAAAGGGCGACTATGCTTGTGGTAAGAGGCGACTAACGTGATCAGGTGGTCAGGCTCGCTGACTTGGTTGATGCATGTCATCGTAACCCAATTGCGTGGATCGATGCTCATGATATCAATCACTGGAATATCTGGCCCAGACGCGATTATTTACAGACCGAATTCATATGATTGGAATATTTCTGAGTGCGACGTTAAACAACAAACAAACAAACAAACAAACAAACAAACAACAGGTGTTCGGGACAAGCTGATTGTATCGTGCCATTCCGGTGGTACCCGTCACAAACACATGTAAAGGCAAGCCAATATTCTCTTAAACAAACACGGGGACATGTGGAATATTGCCATACATTCTTGTGGACAGTTTGTTGCCTCTTGGAATCTTTGTGTGCGGTCTTAAATATAGATGAACGATATCTTAAGTTATAGTTCAACTTCTTGGCCGAATTTGCCAATCCGAGCAGACTTTCTGATAAATATTCATAAAGAAAGAGATCAGCAAGGAGAGGAGCACAACTGGTGCTCACCAGGGATGCCCACTTCTTACCTAAATGCCCTATCCCCAAATGTCACATCGATGTCGTAAGGAAATCTTGTTAATATGTATACGCGATACTGTACACCCTAGGGTTGGTTGGTTTAGGTCAGACATTGATTGGTTGTGTCGTAACTGCTTTCAGGCGTCCAGAGCGACCCTAATACAGTTACTAAATGTACTGCCGTTCCTGGTCCTCGTGGTCAATTACGCCAAGACATTGCCACTCGCCTTGTCCGCCGCGGCTCGGCTCCGTCAAGGAGTGATTGGTCTAACGACACTTACTCCAAGTTGTCTCTATCAGCATTCACACACGCATGATAAAGAAACGCGACTCCAGTTTTATACTCACATAGTTTTACTTACTCTCAGCCCATCTATCAATACAGGACAGGATCAGACCGGCCAGACTCGTCATTAAATGGGGGAAACTTAGAACGATCGGGATTCGACTCAATCGATTGCAAACCGCGCTCTTCACTCCTAATGTTGAAGGTATCATTTTATAGTGTTCGGGCCTGCCCTGTCTTTGTCACATGTCACAATACCTCATTTTGATTCGTTAAAAGTTAGATCTGACCATGAACTCATGTGTGTCAAAATACAGAAGCCTACGTGCCAGATCTCTCTATTGATTTTGTGACACGCAT